CATTCCATGTACACTTGAAAAGAATTTGTGATTTGCAGTTGTGGGTGCACTATTCTATATATGTCCTTTGGTTCAAGTTCGCTTATCCAGTTGTTCAGATCTATTTCTTACGAATTTTGCATCTGCTTGTTCTAACAGTTACTGATACACATAACTTCCACTACAACTGCAGATTTGTATATAACTCCTTGCAATTCCATCCAATTTTTTTTTGCTTTCTATATTTTGAGGCTATGTGTATTAGACACATACAAATTTAGAATTGCTATATTTCTTGGTGAATTGTGCACATTATCATTATGCAGTGTCTTTATTTCAGTAATGTTTTCTGCTCTATCTAAAGATTTTCTTTTGGTTTAACTTTTGCACGGTTAGTCTTTTTTTATTTTTTTAAATTATGGTAAAATATGTATAACATAAAATTTATCATCTCAACAATTTTTAGGTATACATGACTTGGTTTTGCAATTGATTTCCAGAACTCTTTTGGGGGGGCAGGGGGCGGTACTGGGGATTGAGCTCGCGGGCACTCAACCACTGAGCCACATCCCCAGCCCTATTTTGTATTTTATTTAGAGACAGGGTCTCACTGAGTTGCTAACTGCCTCGGCGTTGCTGAGGCTGGCTTTGAACTTGCAATCCTCCTATCTCAGTCTTTCAAGCCACTGGGATTACTGGCATGCACCACCACACCAGACTGGTTTTGATTTTTGTATTTCCCTAATGATTAGTGATGCTGAACATCTTTTCACATGCTTGTCGATCATTTGTGTCATCTTGTTTGGAGAAATCTGTTCAATAATTTCTCCTCCTCCTTCTTATCATTAGTATTTTTAGTTGTAGTTTTTTTTATGTATTCTGGATATTAACTTCTCACCAGGAATGTGATATGTAATTTTCTTCAGGTTGCATTTTACTTTGTTTGTATAGTTTGTCTTTGTCTATGCTATTATTTTTAACCATTTTTTATCCTTATGTTTAAGGTTTATTTTTTAACAGCTTATAATTAACTTTATATTATAATTAGAGCAATTAGTTTGCATTTAAAGTAACTGCTGACATATGTGGTTTTAAATCCCAACTATTGCTGGGCATGGTGGTGCACGCCTCTAATCCTAGAGGCTTGGGTGGGTGAGATAGGAGCCAGCCTCAGCAATTTAGTGAGGCTCTAAGCAACTCAGTGAGACCCTGTCTCTAAATAAAATACAAAAGAGGGCTGGGGATATGGCTAAGGGGTTGAGTGCCCCTGAGTTCAATTCCTAGTACAAAAAACAAAAAAAAAATCCCAACTATTTTATGTTTTTTTTTCACTCATTTTTTTTTTTTGGCCAATTTTTGCATTTTTTCTTTGTTTTTTGGGGGGTACTGGGAGTTGAACCCAGGTGTGCCTTACCACTGAGCCACATCCCAGTCCTTTTTATTTTTTATTTTGAGACAGGGTCTTGCTAAGCTGCTGAAGTCCTCACTAAATTGCTGAGGCCGCCTCATACTTATAATCCTCCTGCCTCAGTCTTCCAAGTCACGGGGATTACAGATGTGTGCCACTGTGCCTGGCTGGATTGAATACTTTTCAGTCTCCTGCTATCATTAGCTTGGATGCCATTCACTTTCTTCTTCTTCTTCTAGTGTTTATCCTATGTCTAACAACATGCATCCTTGGCTTTATCTATGTCTAACAGTAATTGGTACTTGAACCTAATATTCAGATAATTTAAGAAGCTTGGAATACTTTAACTTCACTAATAGCCAATCCTTGCTAATTTATATTGTTATCAGATAATTAAATTATGTACACAGACATACACACACACACACACACAAACATATATGTATATTTATTCCTCAAGGTGTTATTCTTCCTTCCTTTTTTTAAAGTGTATTTTTACTTGTTGATAGACCTTTATTTATTTATATGGGGTGCTGAGAATCGAACCCAGTGCCTCACACATGCTAGGCAAGCGCTCTGCCACTGAGCTACAACTCCAGCCCTTCTTTCCTCCCTTCCTCTCTTCTCTTCTCTTTCTTAAGGTGGGGTCTTGCTATGTTGCCCAGGCTCCTGGGCTCAAGTGCTCCTCCCACCTCAGCCTCTGAAGTACTTGGGACTGCAGGGGCATACCATGGAGAATGTTTATTATTATTTCTTTATAGCCAATGGACATGTGTATTTCCCATTTTTGTTTCTTTTCATTCTTTCCGTTTGGGATCATTTTCCTCATACTCAAAGGATATCCTTTCATGCTTCCTGTATTACACTTTTGCTGGTGACAATTTTTCTTAGTTTTATGTGTTTAAAAAAATGTTTTCAGTTTTCATCCTTGGAGCATAATTTTGCTGAATTGAGAATTTTAGGTTGGATGAATTTTTGGAAAGTTGTGAAACATCATTCGATTTTCCTATGCCCTTTATTTTTGTAGAAAAGTTGTCTTTCGAGTTGCTGTGACTTTGATGGTATTCTGGCCGGTTTGAAGCTTTCTCTCCTTCTATTTTTATTCTGTTTTCAATAGTTGTGCTGTACCAGCATCAGCATAGATTTTTTTTTTTTTTTGTGGTGCTGGGGATTGAACCCATGGCCTTCTGCATGTGAGGCAAGCACTCTACCAACTAAGCTATATCCCCAGCCCTAGACTAGATTTTCTTGAATGGACCCTCACAGGGTTGTGGTTGTCTTTCACTAGTTTTTAGAAGTTCTTAAGCTACTATCTCTTTGAAGTTAGCTTTGGCTCTATTCTCTCTTCCCTCTCCTTTTGTGACTCTAATTGCATGTTAGACCTTTTCAAGTATCCTTTATGCCACTTACCTTTCCACTTGTATTTCCCATCCTTTTACCTCTTTTTTACTTTATTTTGGATGTTTGCTTTTGCATACTTTTTTTTTTTTGGTGGAGGGTGTCCCAGGAATTGAAATCAGGGGTACTTGGCCACTGAGCCACATCCCCAGTCCTATTTCTTTTCTTTTTTTTTATATTTTATTTAGAGATAGGGTCTCACTGAGTTGCTTAGCACCTCACTTTTGCTGAGCCTGGCTTTGTACTCGTGATTCTCCAGCCTCAGCCTCTGTACCTGCTGGGATTACAGGTGTGCACCACCACGCCCGGCTCGGATGTTTGTTTTTGATATAACTTCCCATTCACTAATTTCCTCTTTAGCTGTGTCTAAGTTGCTGTTAAATCTAACCCTGTAATTTCATTCTTTATATTGTCTGTTGTCCAATTTAAGAATTTTCATTTGGAATTAAAAAAAAAAAAGGAACTTTCATTTGGGGTGTGTGTGTGTGTGTGTTTTATGGGGATAGAACCCAGGGATGCTTTACCATTGAGCTCCATCCCCAACCTTATTTTTTTTTAAATTTTGAGACAGGGTCCTGTAGCAACGTAGCTGAGGCTGAACTTAAAGTTGAGATCCTTTTGATTAACCTCCTGAGTAATTGGGATTACAGGTATGTACTATGTGTAGCCATTTGGTTCTTCCTCTTCCTCTCCTTCTTTTTTAAGTACTGGTGGTGGAACCCAGGGCCTCACACATGCCAGACAAGCACTCTACCACAGAGCCACATTCCCAGCCCATTTTGTTCTTTTTAAAAGACATTTTTGTTCTTTCTTGAAATTTCCAATGTGTATTTTGCCTCCTTGGGCTTTGTAAGTACAGTTGCTTCACAGTTTGTCTGGTGATTTCAACATCTGATGCTCTTGTGAGGCTGTTTCTGCTGTCTGTCGCTTGTTTTTGTCATGTTATCTGATTCCTTATTTGCCTGGCATTTTTTGTGTGGGATCTCATATTAGCAAACTTATTTGTGGAAACCACTTCTTCCACAGACGATTTATGTTTGTTTCCCTTAGGCTCTAGGTAACATTAAAAGTAGTTACTTTGATCAAACTCATTTCATTGTTTTATTTTTAAAATTTTTTTAATTTTTAAAAATTCTTTCTAGTTGTAGATGGTCACAATGTTTATTTTTATTTATTTATTTTTATGTGGTACTGAGGATCGAACCCAGAGCCTCATGCTTGAGAGGCAAGCACTCTACCACTGAGCTTCAACCCCAGCCCTCATTTTTAATTTTTATTGTTGCAGTGCTGGGAATTGAACCCAGGCCCTTGGGCATGCTATGCAAGAGAGATATCACTGCATTATACCCCTCGATACAATTTTATAAATTGACAGAATTTTAAAACTCTTTGCGAGGCCCTAATACTTGTGTTCTTACTTCTAGAGTCAGTGACTTACCCAGGCTAAGACTAAAGTGGAAGGGGTTGCCCTGGAGGCAGGCAGTAAGGGGTATATTTCTTTTCCTATTATTATTATTTTTGTTGTTGTTTTGGGTACTGGGGATCGAACTCAACCACTGAGCCACATCCCCAGCCCTATTTTGTATTTTATTTAGAGACAGGGTCTTACTGAGTTGCTTAGTGCCTCACTGTTGGCTTTGAACTTGTGATCCTCCTGCCTCAGCCTCCCGAGCCACTGGTATTACAGGCATGTGCCTCCGATCCCAGCAAGGGATGTATTTTCTGTAAAGAATGACAGTGGTAAAAGTAAAAGTAAAAGCTGGTCCTCTTTGTGTCTGTCACCACACTGCAGTATTTCTTTCTCTTTTTTTGGTACTGAGGAGCTGATTGTGCAGCATGCTAGGTTAGAGCTCTACTACTGAGCCACACCCTGGCCATTACTGTACTTCCAACCATCAATCATAAACCCTTCCTCCCTGTTGGGCCTGACCACTCCCACCATCACCTTAGCATATCACTGGATTCCTGTAACTATCCCTGTAGACTATGAGTTGGAAAAGAACAGCCTCTGTGCCAAATTCTGCAATCAGCCTGCTTTTTTGTTGTTGTTATTGTTTGTTTCTTCCACTTTTTTTATTGGTGCATTATACTTGTACATTTTGATGGGATCTGTTTATTACATAGTACATACAAATAATTTAACAAAATAATTTGGCCAATATTCCTCTCCAGCCCATTTTTTGGTAGGACATTAGTGTAAAAAAGAGTTTATACATAAGTTTTTGAAAACCTTTTTTATTGTGGTCAAATATTACATTAACATAAATGTTTTCCATTTCAACCACTGTACGAGTGCAATTTAGTAGGATTAAATATATTCACAAAGTTGTGCAATCATCATTAATATCTATTATCACAGTTTTACATTAAGAAAAAAAACTGCTAAAAACACCCCAAACCAACAGGTAAGATTATGGCACACAGGCCTAAAATGTTTAGTATCTGGCCCTTTACATTAAAAAGTCTGCTCACACTTGCTGTAGACCTAGAGAGCTGTCAAAAGCAAATGCCTACAGGGCAAAAGGATCCCATGTGTCAAAACCACCTCCCTTTCCTGTCCATCCCTTTTTTTGGAGTTGTAGATGGACAGAATAACTTTATTTTATTTATTTATTTTTTTACGTGCTGCTAGGGATCGAACTCAGTGCCTCACATGTGCTAGGCAAGCGCTCTGGCACAAACTACAATCCCAGCCCTCCTGTCCACCTTTGATAGTTCTTCCCAACCTTTTTTATGGGTACTGGGGATTGAACTCAGGGGCACTCAACCACTGAGCCACATCCCCAGCCCTATTTTGTATTTTATTTAGAGACAAGGTCTCACTGAGTTGCTTAGTGCCTCGCCACTACTGAGGCTGCTTTGAACTCAGGATTCTCCTGTCTCAGCCTCCAGAGCTGCTGGGATTACAGGGTGCGCCACCATGCCAGGCTTTCCCCCCCTGTTATTCAGATGTGTTCAAGCAGATGCTTCTCAAAACATATACTGTCTACTTTTTAAAACGTTGTTCTCAGTGGTAGAGGTGGTCTGACTGTGTTATGGATCCTTTGTTCTCTAAATATCAAGTAGAAAAGAAGCAGGCCTAAAGTAGTTTTTAAAAGTTCTGTTATTATGTCTTTGAATTTAGGTTTTGCCCTAAAAAGAAGAGGTATGTAAGAATCCAAGAAATTAGTGTTGGGGGTGTAGTTCAATGAAGCATAATATATTTGAGGCTCTGGTTTCAATTCTTATCTCTCTCTCTGTCTCTCTCTGTCTCTCTCTCTCTCTCTCACACACACACACACACACACACACACACAAGTCCAAGGGTTTAAAATTTCTTTATATTTTTAAATCCATGTTATCTCCTTCTCCTATATTTTAAATGGCTTAAAAGATCTTGGCTAAACATGAGTGGTTCAAATTAATAGACAGTGAATACTTGTTGGATTATATGAAAAATAAAAGAAGACAATCCATTAGAGAAAGGAGAAAGGGAAAAGGAGAGACGAGTAAGAGAGAATTTGGGTGGTGTATTAGTTCCTTTCTGTTGCTATAAAAAGATACCTGAGCCTGGTTAAATTATGAAAAAAAAGAGGTTTATTTAGTCATAGTTTTAGAAGCTGAAAATCCAAAATTACGTGGCTCTATCTGTTCAGTTTTAAGTGAGAACCCCCTTGGCTGAATTGCAGCATGTTGGATGGAATCTTGGCAGGAAAAAGAGAAATATGGGTGTGTGTGTGTGGCAGGGGAGGGCTGGGGATCCATAGGATGGTAAGAAAGGAAGACAGAGAATGGGAGAGGCCACTCTTTCTCTTTTTATAAAATTATTTTAATTTTTATTTTACTTATTTATTTTTATGTGGTGCTGAGGCTCAAACCCAGTGCTTCACACATGGTAGCTCTTCTACTGAGCTACTGCCCCCCATTCTTCCTCTGAGAGGCCAGCATTAATCCCCTCCAAGGGTGATGCCCTAATGGCTGAATTACCTCCCACAAGGCCCCACCTCTTAAAATTCTACCACCTCAACATGGTAACTTCACAGCAGGAAGGTAAAACTTACAGTACATGAACCTATGGGGGACAAATCATATCCAAACCAGAGCAGTGAGTACAGGAGAGGAGGTGGAGCAGTGGGAGGAAGAAAAGAAGAGAAAGGTAAAACGAAAGGATAAAACTTAATGTCATTTTACCAAAGCCTAGTAGCCAATGATCTCTACAAACTCAGTTTGTAGATTTAAAAAAAAAAAAATTTTTTTTTTTTTTTAAAGTACTGGGAACCCAGGGCCTAACATATTAGGTAAGCAATGACCTACATCCTCAACCCTTTTAAAATGTATTTAATTTTTAGTTTTTTTGCGGGACTGGGATTTTTTTTTTTTTTTTTTTTTGCTACCGGGATTGAACTCAGGGGCACTCAGCCACTGAGCCACATCCCCAGCCCTATTTTGTATTTCATTTATAGACAAGGTCTCACTGAGTTGCTTAGTGCCTCGCCATTGCTGAGGCTGGCGTTGAACTCGCTATCCTCCTGTCTCAGCCTCCCGAGCAACTGGGATTACAGGTGTGCGACATGGCACCCAGTGGGACTGGGATTTTAATTCAGGGCCTCCTACGTGGTAGGCAAGTGATGAACTACAGAGATATTCCCAGCTATTTTTTTTTTTTTAACTTTTCCTTTTGAGACAGGGTCTTGCTAAGTTGCCTAGGGTGGCCTAGAACTTGTGATCTTACTATCTCATCCTCTCCAGCAGCTGGAATTACTGCATGCATCACTGTGCCTGGCTTCAGTTTCTATTTTTTCAAATACACCCACTCCAACTAATCCTATTCCATTTTCCATTTTTTCCATTCCTTTCCAACCATCCACTTATTTTCCTTATTGGTGGTGAAAAAGGAATTTGTTCATGCATTTGTTTGTTCACTCACTCAACAGATATTTAAAAATATCTACAAAGTGCCAAACTGTGTGGGGCACTGGGCATAGACAGCTTCCATTCTAGTGAAAGACAGTGATCGAGGTGTAGTCATAGATGCCATAACAAATAGAGCTCAGTGGGTTAATACAATAAATGTCTCGTATCTGTTAAGTTTAGAGTTCCATACAGGTGTTTTTGGCCCAGCCTATTTCTGAGTGCTCATTCAGAGTCATACTTCTGCTCTAAGTCCACCAGCAAGAACTAGTCACATGGCCCTGGCTAAATGCAAGGGCATCTCTGGAAAACACAGTTCCCAGCATGGAGAATGGGCCTTTGGTGATTAGCAAGCTGACTGTCACATGGGGAAAGACAGACAGCTACTGAATAAACAAACTACTTATTATGTTAGAAGGTGTTAAGTGCTTTGGAGAAAAATAAAGCAGGGAAAGAAATATAGAGTCTGTAGAAATATTTTAATTTTAAATAGAATGGTGACAGAGGGGCTCACTGGAGTGAGGAGTTGAAGAAGGCAAAAGTGTGACTTGTGGATCTTAAAAAGGCCATTGTGGCTGTCGCAGAGCACGGGTGACAGAGGATATCAGAGAGAGGAGAGGAGGCGGACTATGTAGGACTATGGTTTCTCCAGAGAGAGAGAGAGAGAGAGAGAGAGAGAAGCCTTTGGGACTCTTTAAGTAGTAGAAAACTGAGGTATGGTCATGGGTAATAGCGGGGAGAGAAGCAGGACATGATGGGCTAATTAGCTGGTACTGCATCAGATCAGGAGCAGAATACACCTAAGTTAATGGTAGCTGAATGGCCTGTTTTCCTATATGGCCACCTCTAGTTGTACATGGTCAGAGTGATCCGAAGAGATGAAGGTCAGTTCACTTTAGGCTTCAGCACCCCTGTCCACCAACATCCGCTTGCCCTGGCAGCAGCTTGGTCATTCACTCAACGGATATTTGCTAAGCATCTCTGGATGTCAGGTCCTGGTCTAGGCATTGAGAGCAATAGGTTAGAGGAGGACTGTGCCCTCAGGGAACTTGTACTCTAGCGGGCAGATAATAAACAGCAAAGACAGAGCAAGATACTTTCTAATATGAGGCAGGATCCTGCAGAGTGACCTGCTTTACTTAAGGGATCACAGAGGTCCTCCTTGAGAAGGTAAACCTGAACCATGAAAAGATGATGACAGGCAGGGGATTGGGGGAACAGGATTCTGGCAGTAAGGACATGTGGCGAACTGCAGGGGAAGACAGAAGGTCAGCCTGGCCCCATCTTGCAGAGAGATCTTGTAGGCTCTGGGTTTATTCTATGCATGATGGAAAGACTTTGGTAGGTTTAAGGGGAGGAGTCACAAGATCTACTTATATTTCATTAAGGTCACTGGGTTGGCCACAGGCTTAACGGACTATAAGGGAAGGGGTGGGGTGGGGAGGCAGAGGGAAGAAGCATAGGTAATAGATAGGGTCTTAGACAAAGATGGGCGGGGACACACACTGAAGGTAGTAAATGGGTCAGGTGATCACTTGAATGGAGCATTTCTTTAGGTCAAGGCCTTTGTAAGCAAAGGAAGATTACCAAAGAAGCATGCTTGAGAGGTCCAGTCCTTGCCCTGATTTTGTTAATGTTTACTTATAAGGTAGCTCAGATCTCATCCTTAAAGGTGCCATGTAAACACAAGACAATCATTAAATCAGTGCATACCAGTGGCTAAATAAGTGAGAACTGGGGTATGGGGGAAAGAGGACTTTGGAGCTGCATTACATCTTCCAGCAGGACCAGAGGTCTGGGGTGGGAGGGGGCGCTGCCTAGCCCCTCCCTAGTGGCTACAGGAGCTTTGAAACTCTTAAAAACCTGGCTCCAGGCTTCAGTTTCTCAACTCATTCTGAGCTTCTCAGGAGCTCAGCGAAGCAGTGACTCAGGGGAGGTCCCTCCTCTGCAAGCCGGTTCTCAGTGGCTGGGAGTGACTCACCTGCTCCCTCCCTCACGAGTGACCCCGGGCCAATCCCTTAATGAGTCCACACCTCACTCTTCACCTCTGGCCAAGACAATTGCCCGGTGGAGTTTTTGGCTCCCTGGGGGCAGGGCTTGTGTCTGCAACCACACAGGTTCCTAAAGAGACTTCTGGTAAGATCCAGAGGAGTGCAGAACTCTAGGGCCAACCTAAGGTCCTCCCCAGGCACCGAAACGGGAATGCAGTGGGGGCGGGGTTAACGTTGGTACCCGCGATTTCTTCTAATTGCAGAGCCATTCAACAGCATTTTGTACCGAATACTTTGATACCTTGGAGCATTTCTTTATTTGTTTTTCTTTATTTATTTTTGGTTCTGGGGATAGAATCCAGCGCCTCGAGACTTACTAAATACCCACTCTATCACTGAGCTACACCCTAGGTCCAAAAGTCTTGGAGAATTTCTTTTGGACACCTTTTTGTATACCAAAACTTTCTTGGGAAAATAAAAGGGGGGAAAAACAGCAACCAGAGCAGGTCCCCAAAGTTAGCAAAGCGGACACCGGAGGCTCTAGGAAGAGAATGTGCATGGATTGAAGAACAAACCTCTGTTTCTGGGGGAACCTAGGCTACTGGATTGATGCCGGGATCTCTGCGACCCTAATAGGGTGGTGAGCCCAGCAGATCGTCCGGGTTTCAGCCGGCTCGGGTTCTACTAGCAGCGCCCCGGGTCGCCGCAGGGCGACTCCGCATCCCCCCCTTCCCCGCCCCCAAGCCACAGCAGCGCCCGCGCTCCACCCCTGGCCCCGCCGCCTGGGTTCGCTGTCCTGTAGGAACCAGGCAGGTGGACCGCTGCGGGAGCACCCTTCTCCTAGACCCTCCCGGGGACCCTCCCCCGGGCCCTGTCGCGCCTCCGCGCCCCGCCCCGCGCCGGCAGTGGGCGACCGAGTTACCTGCGCCGGGAAGTCACAGTCCACAGCCCGGACTCTTAACGGGGAGGGTCCCGCGGAGCCCAAAGCCACATTCCAAGGGGAGGGGTCCCTACCTCTTTAGAGGGTCGCGGATCACATTACCGGCCGAGAGGAAGAGACGGCGAGAGGCAGAGTAAACAGGGGGTAAAAGTTGCATTTAGCTGTTTGTTTTTTTTTTTTTTTTTTCCGGTTTTCCCCCAATCGCGCTTCGACGGCTGGTTGACCCGGGGATCCGGTGTCCGCCCAGTTCCCGCAGCCCGTGGCCCCGGCACGGCTTGCCTGCACGGAGGCCCCTTCCTGCCGCGCGGGTGCGGGAGCGGTGAGCGGGGCTGCGGGCGGCCCTGGCGACCCCCGCGAGGCTGTCCCAGGGGCGGGAAGCGCGGCGGCCGGAGCCCGCGCGGCGCTCGGAGCACCGGGACCGGGACGCTCACATGCGTGCGCATAAATCAGTCAGCGAGCAGTCGCCGCCGCCAGCGCCAGGGAATCCTCGGGCTGATTGAATGCAGACGTGGGGTGTCTGCCAGGGCAGGAGGGCGGCGGGGCAAAGGGAACCGGCGTGGAGGCCACGGTGGGGGAAGGGAGGCCAGGACCAGGAGACAAGAGAAAAGCCCAAAGCCACATTTTTAACCAGGGGCTGATTTTGAAATGCAAACTCCCGCGGGCGGGGAGGGGGCCGGGCCGCGGGCGCGGGGCCGACGGGCCACCCGCGGCAACTTTCCGGCGGGAGGTGCGGCCGGAGGGGGCGGCGCCGGCGGCGGGAGGCGGGAGTCGGGGGCCGAGGGGGGGAGTCACTTTAAAGGCTCTTTCTTACCCATAATGCTTTGTGGGGACGTTGACAAGTGGATCCAAGATGGCGTAGAAAGTAATGACAGGTAAGTCCTGACTTCCCCCTTCTCTGCTGCCGGGGCCGCTCCGCGAGCCGCCCGAGCCTTCTGGGGAGGGACCCTGACTCCCCTCCGGTGCCCCGAGCCCCGGGAGGCGCGGCCCCGGGGCGGGCCGGGGTCCTGGGCGGCCCGCGGCGGGGCCTGGGAAGCGGGGCTCTTCGAGGCGAGGCCCGGACGCTGGGGCTGTTTACAGCTTCTTCCCGTCCTCTGTCCCCTTCCCCTCCGCTGGGGGCCGCGGCGCCCGGGGCCCAGGCCGAGGCGGGGCCCTTGCACCCCTGGGCCGGGGGCCTGCAGGCAGCTGCTCTCCCGCACGGGCCACTCCGGGAGGGGGAGCCGAGCCTTGGTGCACGCTCCGCGCCTCCGGGTCGCCGCGGGGGGTGGGGAGCGTGCGGGCCTCCCACGCCCCGCTGGATTCCGCCCTCGGGGCTCGGACTTCCACCCGGCCGGGGCGGGGGTCTCGGGCGGGGGGCGTCGGGAAAAGTGGGTCAGGGGTGCGCCCCCTCCCCCGCGGAGGGCTCAGAGCCTAGGGTTCACTTTTGCCCCCTTCCCCGCCCCCTCCTCGGAAATGCTCTCTGGCCCACAAGCGCATCAACAAAAATACAAACAAGATCTCTTCCTGGAGATTCCTCAAGAGTCCCCTTTGCAAGGGCTTTGAAGACTGCAGCGTTTCTGGAACTTTGATTCCTCTCTCCCAGTTTATTTGAGCTTTTTGCCCCTTGGCCTTTTTGCCTTCGGAGAGGGCTGGAAGCCAGGTCTTCGGATACTTCTTGGATTGGGATTTTTGGGTTTTGTTTGCGACTCAAGAATTGCCATTCTTTTCTCCCTTACAACTCTTCAGGCAAATCATTAATATGATAAAAAGTATAACTCTAAAGGTAGTGGGTTCCTGGAATGGGAGAAGGAGGAAGGAGTTATCTTGGCTAGTTTGTACTTAATTTTGCCCTCACTTAAACTCATATTAATGAGGTTTCTTCTTTTTAATTCTTTCAAAAAATTTTTTTGAAACTAAGATCAGTCAGTGCTGACAAAAGATGAACTTTCTTATGTTTTTGATTTTTAGAGCATTTTATAATCTATTCTTTTATCTTTTTTACCAAAAGGAAATGTTTTCATTTTAAGGCAAAAGAAACATTCATTTGCAAAGCTGCAGACTGTACCATTTTTGTAACTTTCCATTTGAAATTTAGATGCCCTTTCACTTCAGACTGATAAAATGTTTGCCACTGATAATGTCCATTACTGGTATTGTATAGACACATTTTACTTTTCTATTTGCCTCAGGAATTGGATGAAGTAATTGATCACTAATGAACTACAGTGCTGGTGAGATGTGTAAGGTGAGACCACACAGTTAAACATGATTTCACTTGTTTCCTTCTGTATTTTAATCAACTTATAAAAGTAAGGCTGAAACTTAAGTAATTTGATGGGGCCATCTTTATTTTCCAAATATGTCACTCAGTCAAATGGGGTATGAGCAGGGCTAGATTTAGAAAGGAAAAATGTGTCAAATATCAATCTTTTCCAGGACTCCAACATACTCAAACATAGTAGAGTTTATCCAGAGCCAAATGTTATTTGCAGCTATCCTTGATCAGTGTCTTCTCCAGGGGTAATTATAGTTTGCCTCTTCAAATTTCTTTGTGTAACTTTAATTGGATGTCTTAATTTTGCTTGTTTTGATGTCCATTGTTTACTGTACGTTGAGTGTAAGTGATTATGTATAAGGGACTTGTATTTCCACAGTTTTTGGGACTTTTGTAAAGTATACCCATTCCATTGGAAATGATTATTTTAGGCAAGCCAGTCACTTATTTTATTTTCTTGTGGTATTGGGGATGGAACCCACAGCCTCACACATGGTATTCAGGTGCTCTATCATTAAACTGTATCCCCAAGCCCTTGGTTTTAATTTCTGAAAAATGGAATAGTACTTGTCTCTAATAATTATTTAATAATTATTTGGAAATGAAAATGATATGAAAGTGAATCCCACCCAACTTATTAGGGATAAGACTAGTTATTATTTTCTGGTCATATATGGTGTATGAATTTGTAATATTTTATTTTATTTTAACTTATCATGCTTTGAAATTAAAGGACATTAATATAGCATGAGTGAACAGCTTACATTCATTGCTGTGGAGAGGGAGAGTTTACATTTTTCACAATCAGTTTTCTCACCTTGAGAAATATCTTATTATATTTGGTTCAGAAAAATGTAAGTAATTTTGGTTAATTAATTGGTTATTGCAGGGCTTTGTCTCATCCATTAACACATCTGGGCATCTGGACCTTGAAAGCCTCTTATGAACTTTTCATACCTACTATAATATCTAATGAAGAAGAATAGGCTGTGTTTTACTTTATTTTTCTAGATTGAGATGTATAATTGACATTTTGCCTTACACATACGTGTGCACCCACTCACGCAACCTTGGGAAAGAAAGGTGGACACAGACCAAGATTGTTTTTTAAGTGCACATGCCACATTAATTTGGGTTTGAAACTCAGCAGTGCTTATGTGTATTATATATAATTTTAATTCTTATTCTTGGCAGAGCAAATGTGGATTTTTGAATTTATTTTCAGTTTACAGGTAGAAGCATATTCATGCCTTAGACTTCCCAATTTGAACTTTTCATCTCATTTTTTTGAAATTTACAGATTATTCTGTGGAAAGGAACCAATGATCTGCCTTTTGCCTATAGAGATGTTCCTTTGTAGTCTGAAGCTGAATATTTAGTATTTGGTAATCTTGTATGGCTAGTGTTGAACTGTATCAGGATATTTCCATAGCCTTCACACATGAAGACTGGTGGAGTATTCACTTCAAAGTGAAGCTAATGTTTGGCCACCAAACAACTTGTTACACGGAGTATTCTAAAATGGGAAATACCATAGTATTGAAGGTTATGATGGAGTACAAGTCTGTGTCTTTGAGCTGAATAAAGACATATCTTTTTTAGTCTCTCCTTTTGGCTGGTAAGCTAGGACACTATTTTTAGGTAAGGCTGTATTTTTTGAGAGTCAGTAAGTACAGTCCTGAACTTCTTCATCAGCTGGCAAACTTTAATTTAGCAATTATTAGCAAGAAATTTCATTTTCTATTAGCATAAATATTCAGTTTATCTGGTCTTAATATCTGTATACATTCATGAACTGTCTAGTCTTTATTGGAGAGGGAATGATACCACAACAACAGGAGAAATCATTTCTCCTTGCAAAGGGCCTTGTGTAATTTAAAAATTTACAGAATATTCATGAAAGGCTAAGAATAGTGCAGAGGGACCCACAAGTAAGTAGACCAGATCTTATAAATGCATCTGTGTTCTCTGTTTAAGAAATAGGGTTGGCATTAATATTGAATGCAGATTAGTCCATGATTGTCCATCAGACTATATTTAAGATCCAAATACAGGCCCAGTACAAGAAATAAGGTCCTTTGCCTGTTCCAAAAATATAGAAAAAATTGGGCCAAGTTTTTCAAAAAAAATTCCTCAAGAGTGGGAAGAACTGCTTATAACAAATTATTAGGATTGCTTATTTTCATAAACTTAGGTAAATGTATTTACAAGTGTAATTAGATTTCTAAGTAATATTTTGAAATATTTTCTAGAAATCTCATGGATGGAGAGTATGGCCAGACTAGCTTATGATTCATTTCAATTCATGGCTGTGTCAGGGTCTGTGGCATTGACTGCAAGAAGCATAAAACATGATTGCCTTATCACTTCCAGGGTGGCTGGGATAATGTTTTAAGTCATCCTGAACCTAATAGAGTTAATATTCCTGTTTTTTTTTTTTTTTTTAAAGAGAGAGAGAGAAAATTTTTTAATATTTATTTTTTAGTTTTCTGTGGACACAACATCATTGTTTTTTATTTTTATGTGCTGCTGAGGATCGAACCCAGCGCCCCGTGCATGCCAGGCGAGCACGCTACTGCTTGAGCCACATCCCCAGCCTCAATATTCCTCTTGTTAAGACTATTATAATATGAAGACTTTGTATATTTATGTAAATGCTTGTATATGTATAATGTATATAAACACATATATATCATATGATTATTTTGTTAAGCTTTTAATTATCTAAAAGAAATACAGAGTTTTCCAACCTAAAACCAACAGTCATACCAATTTTTTTTTACTTTTGTAAATTGTATTGGGTCCATTTCTCTAAGAGCAGGAAATTGATAAAACAAAGTT